CTCTGCAGCCTCACCCCTCTGCAGCCTCACCCCCTGCATGGCGCGTCAAGGGCCAGGAAAGCATCCTGACGGCCCGTAGAGTCGCCGGGTGAGCAGCCAGATGTGAGGTCAGCCGGGAGAGACCACCAGCACAGAAACCTACAGCCGTTACAAGCGTGTTGCTTGTTTGGCTCCTGGCCGACCTCAGCCACCTGAGCACCTCTGGATCCAACTGCAGGCTCACGCCAGCAGCACCGGGGCAGCTGGGAAAACAGCCCACGCTACACACACACACACACCACAGCCCCGCTCTCCGTCACGCCCAGTCCAGGCCAGCACCAGCGCAGGGCCGGGGCGTGGACACGTCTTCTAGTACTGGGCAGGCAAACGTGAGCAACCCCTGCTCGTGCTTGCAGGCACACGCCATCGGGACACGCGGACACGTCCCTCAGAAGCGTCTCCGCCTACCGGGGGGACGGCGCGAGCAGAGCTCAGAACGACAGAGGAACGGGCTGCACCGTCAGGCCCCCGCGGGCAGAATGAATCACCGGGGTATCTGTGCACATGTAAAAGCCCAGTCCAGCCCAAGGCCGAGACCAGCAGGCCAGCTTGAGGGAAATGCCCCGTGTGACACACCAGCCTGTACAGCCTGTACAGCGGCAGCAGTAACTGGACAAATTCGACAGGCTTCTCTCTCTTCCCAGCGCCGTGGCGAGAGGACAAGGCAAAGAGAAACACGCCCCTCCGGGCTGCTCGTCTCCTGGCACGACCAGCTGTGGTGCAGCCCTCCTGTGCACAGGCTCTCCCGCGGGTTCCAAGGCTCTGAGGCGCGGCGCTCCGAGACGGGGAATGCGCCGCCCCAGGCCCTCCCTCCTCCCTCCTCCCTCCCCTGGGTGAGTCAGGAAGCACCGCGCGCCGAGCCAAACGCCGCGAGCATTCCAGTCCGCACCTGAGCGAGGAACCCCCTGCGCAACGCAGCCCTGCTCTCTGCCCCGCTGCCCCGAGCCCTCGCCCGGGAGCAGCCGACAGCACCGCCCCGGTGTCCAGGGTGCCGCAGAGACGCAGGAGGCCCACGCAGACACCGGGGTACAGCCCACAATCGACCCGCGGCTTGGCCTCCGCGCAGCTCCACTGAGGAGCTCTGACTTCGCTCGGGGAGCCGCCTGGCACGCACGAGTCATCACATCGCCCGGGAAATCAGCCATTAACAGTGGCTCAGGATCTTTTTCTTACACATCTCTTTATTGACGGGCGGCAGATCCAGGGGACATACTTCTTTCGAAGCCGTGTCGCCCCAAAAAAAAACGACAACTGAGAAACGAAATCACTTTTCCAATGATAAACGTTTTGTTATACCACTGAAGAAAGCGGACCCTTCCACCCCCCCGCTGTCGGCTTGTCACGGGGTCTCAAATAAAGCCACTTGCTCTGGAGCTGCTGCTGAGGGGCCGTCTGTGGTCCGTGCTATGTTAAGCAATGAGTGAATGCACTAATGCAGTCTCTCGCTAATTAAAGTACTTTTCCTAACGAGATTTATAGCACAGCCTTCCCCAGCGTTTCCACATAATGAAACTTCTCCCTCAACAGGCGGCAATCATTACTTAGAGGCAATCAGCTAAGATGCAGCAGGCACTCATTCTGAAAGGCACAGTGATGGAGTCCGAACGTCTCTCATGAATGCTCCCAGGTATTTCCACATTCAGATGTGATGGCCACTCACAAAACAACAAGAAGCATACGACAGCGCCAATTATTTCTCTAGAGCACAGGTGAGCGGTGAGATTTCAAAATAGACAAGAGCTTGATTAAATTTAAATTAAATTTAAATTGAGGGGTTGTGAAATATTTGTCTGAATAAAAAAAAAAGACCCACTCCATTAAACAAAACAGCTTCAGGACTAAAAAGGACACAAAAGAGAAAACCAGTAGACGAAAACATATAGAATTCATAACCAAGTTAAATATTGGTCTCCCACATGAAAGATTCCTAAGCGCATTACCACATTACCTGAAGACATTATGCAGTACGAGGACTATGCACTAATCACGTTATGGTTTATTTCAACAGGGTGCAGTTTAATAGGTGTTTTCAGGCAGGGAAATCAAAACCTCAATTATTTATTTATTTCCAAAAACACAGCCCTTAAAGGGCAAACAATATTGGGGCTTTTGAACGTGGGTGCCACTTCTCTGTCTGTTTTTCATTCCACCTCAGACCTTAATGACATAATTGAGCACAGCTGCGTCTTAGTCAGGTGCAGATTAAATATTGCGTCTAAATCCTGCGGGTAGCCAGTGCAGCGGCGCCAGGACTGGAGTCGCCCTCCCCTGCTCTGCGCTCCGCCGGCGCCGAGCCATCGCCCTCTCCGCTCGAGGGGGCTGGAGGGAAGCAGGAGGGGTTTTGCGTTCTCAGACTGATAAGGAATGATATTTGGTCGACTATCACAAAAAGCCCAGCCGCGAAGATCCCCTCCCGAGGAAACCAGCAGGAAT